TTGATAAAACTTCAATTGGAACAAAATAATTTAAATATTTACTGAAATATCCATTTTATTTTTTTATCCTGAATACAGTTTCTTGCTTAGGATGTTTCACATTTCCTTATTYAATACAGTCTTTCACCTTGCKGTGWGTGAGAGAAATTAATGTCTTTTAATGTTAACCGAATCGTTTAAAAACATAATATATATATTAACTTATCTTAAGTAGTTAAGTGTTGAATAACAGTTATTGTTTTCAGTTAACATAAAATTACCTTAACTAAGATATTTATAGAAATTACATATTTTCTGTTGGAATTGCAAGTGGATTAATTGCTTTGTTTTCGACTGGAACTCAGTAAAAACATTGTTCATGGCCTGCTTCTTCAACATCTCAAAATCTGTGAGTTCTATGAACTTTTGAAGTTATTCTGAAAGAAGTATATGGACTAAAAACAATTGTGTACGCAATTTGTAAAAATAATATATTAGATCCTAATGTATAAAAAAAAAAATGTTAAAATATATTATTATTTTTTACTATTGTTTTAAAATGCTATTTACTTGAAATAGCATAAATATTGCAAATATTGCAAGAGTTGAATCACTCTGTACATGCTAACAATAATATAGTTTATCTTTGTTCATTTTTATTTTTAAGAAGATCAATATGTATTAAAATAAAATAAAAAAATTTGATAAATTATCACATCTATATTATATTATTTTTGATTTCTCATTAATATATGTCAAAAGTTAGTTTTATAAGTAACCAAATAATGCTACCTATTAGAGTAATTAAATTAAATTAATTAAATGTAATACTAATATATAGTAGAAAAGATTGTGTGGACTTTTTTCTCAGTGATGTACATCGTTGGAAAATAAAAACTATGTAATATTGATGTGGAATTTTATGCATAAAACACTCAATATAATTTAAACAACCTAAAATATGCATGATTTATAATAATAAATTGATTGTGTAGTTCAAATCATTTGTTTTAAAGTAAGAGCAAGATGGTTCTAAACATCAATATTATGTTCAAAATGATATTGATTATTATTTATTGAGAATTAATAAGTTATTGGAATCTACTATCATATCTGATGTATTTTTATAAAATTRTATAACCTCTGACTAGTTATGAGAAGCATTARTTTGAWATATTATCCTAAATTATCTATAACTTTAATTAGTAATTACTAAGACTTGTATTAGTGCTGAGTATTATTTCGACAATCTGGATGACAGATTACAATTTAATCCGAATTTTGTATCAATCTGTTTTATTCAGATTCACGGATTTAATCTGTTGTCCTGAATTTCAGATTCAATCCGCTGATTTGGATTTTGGAACYAATCCATTGGTTCAGATTTTGGATCCAATCCGGCTTCATTGTTTTTGAGATAATTAACTATTTTTATTTTTTTGTAAAATACATATTTTGTGAGTATTTTAAAAATTATAGTTATATATTTATGTAAATGAAAAATAATTATTGTTTTCAAAATGTTAAATAATCCGGGATAAACGAATTGTAACTTGTTTCATTTCGAATATGGATTGATCTGGATTTGGTGCTCAGTACTAACTTGTATATCAATGCTTTTTCAATGTGTATACGTTTTTTTTTATGTAAGTGATGTAATTTTTTTGAAGTTTTTAGGTCGTACAATGCAATAATTCTATATTTTTAGGAAATTGAAAACCGRGCACAACTAATTATTAATTAATCAAATAATTGGTTTCGTTTAAGGTAAGCTTTATATTTCCAATGAAATGAATGATGTCACTAATATTAGGATAATTTGTTTCAAAGTAATATTACAGAGACTAGAGTTAAAAATTATTATGAATTAGTGTTATGTAAACTATTTATATTATTTTTCCCTTGGTATTTGAATTTCATGCCTTAATACYATAATACTTCAAAGTAGATTTTACATTAGCACATGATAATATGTATACAGTGAAAGTTAATATTTAAAGAAATTTAGTTATTGCATGAAATTAATTTTAAGTTTTTATCAATATTTCATTTAATAACATTCAATATAGGGAGTTGATAGAGGTAATTGTATGTGATTGGGACAAAGGAAAACGTTAATATGGATACATGGTTCGTTATAAATAATATGTATAATATTTTGTATTCTCCAGTAATATGTATTTATCACACATTGTGATTTTAGTAAAACTTTAAACAACAACTATAAGTCTATAAATCAAGGATTCATGATTGAGAAGTGAAGTTAAGTTCTTTTTTGTAGTGAATCAATTTGAAGTGAATCATTGAGTGTACACAGTTTAATACGCATGTACATTGTACACATTTATACCGTATTCGTGCATTTTAATGGTAATTATGAAATAATATTCTGATCGAACGTCGAACTTTTGACATTATATTTTACRTCGTTCTAATGAGTATCAACCAATTTGCAACCGATCTTATTAGTATAAAATAAATACCAAAAAAATGTACAGTGCTATGTCCAAAYTCTGTAGAATGATTAGTTATACATAATTATGTCTATACTGCTACAATGATTGACCTCAATAACATTATGTATTTATGTCGTAATCTATACTATTATTTAATAAACTTTTTACGTCATTATAATTTTTAGGACCATTTTATGTACTAATTCCGAATTCGACTAGTTCAAAAACTTTCGAGTTTTTCCAGAATATAAGTAACGACGACTGACGAAGTGACGAGTGGCGCAGTCCAGCACTCCACGTAGCAGAAACGCCAGAAACACTATAAAAAAAAAAAATAGAAACTAGAATACAATATACAATACCCCGGGCGTTCGAGTGTTCAAAATGTAGAAAAACTGGTTGCGACAGAATCACCACTTACTATAATTTTCTCAGAGTTGGTAGCGTTGGCTGGCATTATCACACCGATTTCGAACAATGATTTCTGTGGCCTGTGCCCCTGTGGTCAAAGGACGTGTGATACTGTGAAAAATACAAATACACAATACGACAAAATAGTAAATACGTAACAAAATAGTTAATTATTTTAGTTTATTTTCTTTTAGGTATAATTTATGTACTAGTCATTTCGAATTTCTACGATTTTAAATCTCACCTGCCAGACGTCCGAGTTCACCATGTACGGTCATGGGAATTAATAGTGTGTTCGATGAAATTCTAAGGTTCGCGTTTTACCTGGGGTTTGTGCTAAAAAAATCGGTCATGAACGAAGAACAAGAAAACCTTGACTTTTCCGAAGTCAGAAAGTCTTGCAGGACGTTTATTGATTATACTCGTCCAAATATGGATCGTAAGGAAGCCGGGAGGATCAAAAATCAGAATCCTTCGATGGAAAACTTCTTGTTCCAGTTTTCTTCGGATGTGGTGGACTTTAGCTCTCAATATGGCAGTGACATTAGCATATCTTACACAGCCAGTAATGTCACTGGCAGGCCAAGCAAGTTTCCAAGCTATGGAGACTTTCCCCAGTCTTATGTTATGGTGAGTTTTCAGTGATCTAATTTATTAGTACTTTTGTGTTTATCATCCACAACACAYACTTATTATGATATARAAGTCTATAAGTTACTACAATGTTATTCTAACAAACAAATTRAATTACCTAACTATTGAATTTGAAGTCTTTAATTTCAATCCTGGATTCTGGACCAAACTGTTTTGTGTGATCAGTTATTTTAAATGTTTTATTTCTATAACTTATTTAAATTTATTGTAGTAACCCTTTCATTTTTTGAAATTCAACTATTCAAAGAATTATTATTCTGTTTAATATCAACTGTTTTAAATGAGTTTTAGATTTTTATTTTTAWGTTCATAGAATAAACWATATAAAAAATATATCACAATGACTTGAAAATAAGCAGGTGTGTTCCTCAACGTAGCTCAAGTGTTAGACCATGTCTGATACAAAGGCCTCCTTTATAAAATTTGTTTTCTAACTGTTCCCTTATTTTTAATAATAAAATTCTTATCAAGTTCTTGCTGTTTGTTTTGAGGACGAACAAATTCATTTTATAAAAGCAAGCATATCTCAAGGAAGTATTTTAGCTCCCACTATTTATAATACATTTATATCCAATATTTCACATTCTAATAATAATATCTAATAACACTACTTTTGCAACATTCGACATAACTATAATCTCTAATAATATTGACCTAAACATAGTCTCTACTGCMTTCTAAAAACATCTTACTGAATTTCAAAATTGGTTTAATTTATGGAGAATTAAAATCAACCCGAAAAAACAACTCACATGATGTTTTTYCTTTGTTCAAGYCTCTGCTCCCTCTTGTTTCTCAATTATGACATTATTTCTCTAACTGAAATCACCTGTTACCTTAGAGTCTACCTTGACAACAAACTCACTTAGGCCAATCATATAAAAACAAAACAAAAATTCCTTAATTTAAAACTTSGCAAAATTAAAYTCTTTCTTAAATCAAATCTCAATCAACACYAAACCCCTAATATGTATAAAAATTGAATARTTTGCCCTACATAAACCTACGAAACACAACTATGGGGAATGATAAAAAAATCCAACATACAAGTATTTTAATYTTTCCAACAATTTGTMTTTGCCTCATTACTAAGGCCCTGGGTTCACCAGCAACCTTACCTTTCACACAGACCCCAAAATCTAAAATATTCACACACTTTCCTCCCAATAATATAAATTATTTCATAAAAACATGTGTAACCATTGCAATCCTCTAATATCCAACCTATCCTCTRTMACACTTTCATATAACACACCGCATCGTGATAAGGGAAATTTTYCCAGAGACCTCCTCAACATTTAAAAAATAAGTTTAAAAWTTTTTTWWAAAAGTCTGTCTAGAATTGTGAAGTAGTGTCGCTTGGACATACTCTTAAATTAAGCGTCCAACCTAGTTATCTAACCACTATATTACCTAATGTATGAATTTAATACAGATTGTAAATATTCTTGTTATTTTTTACTTAGAGGAGTTATGGACCATGGAGAGATCTTGCACCATCTAGAAAATGTCCAATCATGCCACAAAATGCAGGAAAAATAATTAGTGAAGATTATATAAGTAAGATCAACTTAAAATAAAATAAATAAAATAATTAAAATATTTTAATTTTATTATTAATCTGTGTGTTGTAGTATTATCATTTGATAAACCAGTTGTGCCTATGGTCATCTCCATATTTGAAACATTCACTCCAGGCTCTGTAGTGCGGATATCRGGCAAAGTTATTGACCTTCCTGATACGATTGCATGGCGATTACTTTGGGAAGGGCTGCCCCAGAACTGTAATGGAACAAGACATTCTCGTTTATTTTCTCCAAAATTAAAATACATAAAGGAAATGGTCAAGTAAGACAAAAATAATTGTGTTCTATATTATATTGATTTTATTGATATCAATATTATTTAATTTTTTCTACAGAGAAATATGCATAGAATTTAATCATTCCCAATTGGATTATTATACCGAGTTAGATGCTGTATCTATGGGTGGTATTTTAAAGTATCCAGACAGCGGTGAGCCAGACATTGTATCAGTACCTCTGATTATTCATACAGTCTCAGGATACGTTTATGATAATAATGATAAAAGAGGCCAGGAGTTATTCTCAGAAATTAAAATGCCAACAATGGTTTCGGAAGTATATAGTTTTTAATTTTTTTTGTTACGAACATTTAATGACTTTAATGTGGCAATTTTTAGATATCTACTTCTACAAGTTATGATCCATTTCTCACAATGATGAAGCATAATAATCCTCTCCCAAAGTGTCATGACCATGAGGTACCTGTACATGAGGTACCTGCACATGAAGTACCTGTACATAAAGTACCTGTATGTGAAGTACCTGCCATTGATTACACATTGAAATTGCCGGTACTCTTATTTTTTATCCTAATATCCTATTATATTACATTATTATTATTAAATTTTTAACCAATTCCTAAAATTGTATTTATGTAAGTRTAGAACGAATCGTTGATGCAAATATTTTCATACTTGGATTTAAAATCATTGCGACTTTGTATGAGGGTGTGCAAGCGCTTCTATAACATTTGTACAGATGGATATTTTTACAGAGAATTAAATTTAAAAGTGAGTAAAAATGTTTAAAAATTACATATTTGAAGGAAAAAAAATTCATAACAATATGTTTTTAGCCTTATTGGTGCTCATTTTCCTATTCAATGCTCATTTCATTAGAGCCATATTGTAACCGAATGACAAAGTTGGATTTATCCTGGTGTGGTATTACAAAAGGAATATTGAGCACATCATTCAACTTGTATGTCATTTATGCTACACAATACTTATCATTTATAATTATATGTTTTAATTGTTTATTAAATATTAAGATTTATAGAGAAATGTGGTACTAATTTAACTAACATACGACTAGACTGTTGTGGATTTGTCAATGATTCCACATTAATTGCAATCAACTTATTTTGTAAATATCTGAAAGGTATTTTAATATATAATATATTTTCCTCATTTTATTTTCACTGAAATGTATATGCAACTTACGGTTTTTCAGAATTGAGTTTAAGAAGTTGCACTTCAATTGATTTTGAGTTGATATGTCCACCACAGAGTTTCCCAAAAATGGAACGTATAGATTTTTATAGAACAAACATCACTACAGACTGTTTAATTTTTTATATAACTTGTATGCCTAATTTGAAGCATATCAATCTTGGTAATTAGTTAACACTTATTTTATTTATTTATATAGTTTATTCYGTTGTGTTCTCTCATTTTAATGATTGTTTTACCTATGTTAGGTTCTTGTAAAAAAATCGATTGTATGGACCGTGTTGCGTATAATTTGTCAATATCCAACAAGCAACTTGTGTCTGTAGATTTTTGGAAAAGTTATTCACTGTCTCCTACTGGACTACGTCATTTAACTGTTCTCAAACATCTTGAAGAAATTGATCTCGGATGGTGGTTGGTATAAATTTAAATAAATAAAATACAATACAACCAGGAATATTGATTTAGCTAACATCATTCCTTTGTTTTTAGTTTAGCTTTGAGTATTCCTGGCAATAGTCTCGTRGACTTAGTCAAATCTTGTCCAAGATTAAAAAAAATCATTCTTGTATCATTACGTGGTGTGTGCGATCATGATCTACTAGCGTTTGCTAACTACTGCCCACTGCTGGAGCAAATTGATTTGGTTGGCCTCAGAGCAATTACGGTTGATGCTTGCTCCAAGTTCCTACAGAAATGTAAAAACCTAAAATTAATAGATGTTAATTTTTGTGAAAACATCAAAGAAGAGAATGTAAAAGATTGGCGATTAAAATATCCTAATGTATGCATCCAATTTACTAATTCTGATCATTCAAATGTATATCATTACTAGATCATCACAGTAAGTTATATTTTGTTATTTTGTTTTTTAAGCCTTTTAATTAATTGTATGTGTATGCTAACAAATGCTGTAAGTTCCTCAAAATAATGTTTTGTGGAGTACTTAACAATACTTATAAACATTTAATAACTTATGTTATGAAATATGATAATCTAAAATGTGAAATGT